AAATGGAAATAAACTTTTCTTTGACTTAAGTGGTCCTGACTGAAATATATATTTTTTACTTTTCAGATATTTTGACAACTAAATCATTATTATCAAGCTGCAATTCCTTTTATCTTTTAAGTTAACGACACAAGTTGAACCTTTGACCCCGTCGTCCCATTCGTCACCGACATGGAGGACTCCAGCCATGACACTTTGCAGCCCGAGGAGGAGGCAGCAGCCTACATGGAATTCAAGACACCCAAGGAGGATCTTTTTGAGGTTTTATGGTGGTGCAAGGAGCATGCTAAAATGTTGCCTAACCTGGCAGTGATTGAATGTTTTCAACATCCCGCCATCAAGTGCAGCCAGTGAAAGAGACGTCTCCTCCACTGGATTTGGATTTCAAGAATGGGGAACTCAGGTTAATGTGAGTGACTGTAGCCTGTGTGAGTTTAATAACGGGTGCAGGCGGGTGAAGCTTTGACCTGTGCAGGACTCTGACTGAGGCTTCTCCATCATGATTCGTTACTGAGGCTCACTCTACTCACCTGGTAACACTGACAGCCTTATTGCATTCACCTCTTCTACCTTCTACCTCGATTTATACGACAAATGTGATTGTGGCTTCCTCCTTTAAAATCTGAGTTCAAATTGGACGGGTCCACGTCATTGGTCCGACCATTGGTTTGACATCCCATTAGTCCGACTGTCCGTGGTGCTGAACGGCTCGCGGCGGGCGTATGGTGTGCGCCGCGACCGGCTCTGGGTCAGCTGGGAAAGGCTTGAGGCGGAGCAGGCTCACAGCTTATGTGTTTGTCACTTTCTTTTTCATTTTAACCCACACCATGATCTTTTCCTGACCCTAACCAAGTGGTTTTCGTGCCTAAACCTAACCAGACCTTAACCACAGGGCATCATGATGATTTCGGAACGGACTTTGGAACAATGGGTTTAATATGGTCGGAACAATGGGATGTCGAACCAATGGGCAGTTCCCAAATTGGACACCATTTTGGCCTCTAGACGCTCTCTCTCTCTCACCACTGACAGCAAATCACATCTTTCTCCCGTCTTGCTGGACAGGTCGGGTCATAAATTCTAACAATAACTGTAATTTTTGTAATTATGTGTAAAATCAATAACAACAAAGTTTGGAAAAAAAAGAAAATGAGACTTTTCAATGCCTGAAATGCCTCCTGACATGCTACAACTACATGTGATGTCCGTCTATATTGTGCTGGATGTTGTACAGCTTTGACTTGGCATTAAATTGATTATACCTTTGATTTCTAGAAGGAAAACTGTTGTTCTCCTCACAGCGTCAAGGAAAAGTTAACCCTTTGTCTGTTATCTCTGATGTTGAAAACACTACCCCGAAAATGCAAAAAAAAATCCATCAGATCAATCGAAACGTTTCCAGTCCTGTTCACTGTTCTCCTTCTTCGTGTTCCTTTGTCTCTGTAAGAAATGTGGTATTTGAGCTGCTGTCAGGTTTCCAGCCGGGGCCCACACTCTGAACGCTGTTTATTTTGTGGAGCTTATGGCAGCATCTCTGAATCAACACGTAGGAGGGTGACGGGCTGCATGTACTCCAAAATTCATTTGATTTCCTTTCAGTAGCTGCACTGTTCATTAGCTGAAGCAACACAGAGCAAGCGTGTAGAAAGCACTTATTTCTTCGGCGGCTTAATACTGTGTTCCACTTCAAACACTGCAGACTTGAATCATATTTCACTGTGTAAACTGCTCTGGATAAAAAGTATCCGATAAGCAGAGAGCAAGATGTAGAATGTAAATGCTGAGTGCAGTTTTGGTTCAATACAGGCGTCAGAATAACACCAGCCCACTCACTTCGCTGCTGTGATTAAGGAACCATTCGCTGCTGGTTTATCACCTGATCGAGGTCAATGAGTAATCTTTGATTCTGACACTGTGGCCATGTATTACCACAGAGGGCATCACCTTATTGACAAACTGTTCCACACCTGATACAAGCGCTGGCTCCATTAACCAGAGCCTGCCCAACCAGAAACAACCCCCTCCTCCTCCTTCTTTATGTCCAATTGTGTACTGATGAATAACAAGCCATCATACTCCGCTGACCCCCTGCAGGCGCCGTTTGCTCTCCTTTATGGAAATGCAACCTGCTAAGATTGATGAGAAGAAAACTGAGGATGATTTTCCAAACCCTACGGCCAGCTCGCTCTCACACTGCTCAGGTCTCATTCAGCCAGGCACCTTGTTTCTCTCCCTCTGCCTCGCTCCGTCTTGTTTTTCTTCTCTCACTGCTTTTGAAGGTGGGCACGTCAAATCCATTACTCAATCTGCTCAATGGAGCGAAGCCCATTTACCAGTTGACTCATTTTAGATGGATCATTTACCCTTTCATCCTCTCTGACAATACCACTGATGTAACCAGAGGGACCGGGGCTGTTTTTTAGGGGGAATATCATACGTTCTTGCTCTTTTTCACTGTATGGAGGGAGGGGGAGGTCTGACAAAAAAAAAAAAAAAAAACATGATTGCTTAGCGGAGTCATATGAGCCTCATAAAACACCACGCTATTATACTGTTGTGTTGTGGAACTGCTGAGAGAACAACCATAGGTTTTTCATGCTACATGGGACATGTAAAAACAGAAAGGATCCCTGTGGGAATCTGTGAGCACATGAGTTACATTTTTCTGTCACCACAATGGAATTCAATTGCGGAGGAGTGGAAATGATCCTTTCTTAGATTTGGGCAGGATGTATGACAGGAGTATTTGTAACACAGGAAGTTCAAACCAGTTAAGCATCAGATTTATTGGATAAGTATGTGATTTAACCTCCCACGACCCTGATTCCTCATACGAGGACATCACATTTTGGGATTGCTGCACCTTATTCTTCATTCTGCTAAAGTTAGACCTGTTGTCCTCCTTTGTGGACACTTTTTTTGTGGCATCTAGTGGTCGCACAATACACTAATCAGTGTAAAAACAAGATGGTGGCCGTCTCTGCACAGTTAGTCTGCAGCTGATCCCGTCACAAAAGTGGACAAGGTACAAAACTGATCAAAGTTTATGGTGGAAACTGGTGTACTTATGATTAATAAAGGTTGTAGTTTGATATGGCAACAAAGTTGACCAATTTTAGCATCAGTAACAAGCTGAATTAGGACATTTGAGGACATTGGGACTTTATTATTGTCTTGTTTGGGAACCTTAAGACTTGTATTATTGCAGCATTTCACACAGACCAATTAGACATTCCTGGGACATTCCTAGTTCGGCATACTGAGCGAGGAAACAACAGAGTTCAATTTTGCTTTTGCACAGCCGTGTTCAGGTAGTTTTGAACCTTCTTAGACTATAACAGTGATGTTAACTCAAATAGTTACAAAGCATTGAACAAATGTTGCACCCTTTTAGAGCTTCCCCTTGAAAGTCAGAGATTAGTCGAGCAGTTGTTTTATTTGTTTCGTTTTTTTGCTCATCAGCGCACTGTGCAGTGTATCTCCGGGAATGTTTTGGTCCCCAGATTTTGCTGCAGAGTGAGTGCTCTTGACTTTCACAATACTCTTTGGTACAGGCTGCGGGGGCACAGAAGAGGAGAGACTCTGCACTGTAAGGCTATGAGATAACATTATCTATCTCTCTCGCTTCTGCTTAGAAGTGGTGAATTTACATCTCACAGATACTTAATATGACACAGTCTCTGACTTTTGTTTGACCTCAAAATGTTTTTGCACATTTCCGATCTGCTGTTAGCGCATTTAGCTTGTTTGCCATATTACGTGAATGCTGCTGTAACACTGAACGTCCCGCTGAGTCCCATTAAAACAGTTTAAAGCTATAGTGCGTAACTTCTACAGGTTCGTAAATGTCCGTTTCACCCAAGCCACTACTACAGGAGATGACACAATGCTGATTAAGCTGATCGGCTCCTCTAACATCTTGCGGTATCTTTCAATGTATATCATTTTTACTTTGCGTGTCAACCGGCGACATTCCCGCGCTGGCGCACAGGAAATGCTGCGTTTTACCTAACAACAAGAAGGGAGGGGGAGGAAGAGTGGAGAGTCTCATAGCAAGAGGTAGAGCGCAGGTAGAAAGAGAAAGCAACATGGCGGAGAACCCAAAGAAGCGGCCGAGACACGGTTCAGAAGTGGATCGTACCACAAAGAAAAAGCCTGGACGTTTGGCTGAAGGTTAGCAAAGAAGGAAAGTGACCAACGGAGAAGGCAAACAAGGATTTGTATTGGCGTCGCTTTTCCTCGGTGGAGAGCCCTGAAGGAAGAAATTGGGCTGAGGGCAGACACGGATGTTGCCTTGCTGCTGTTGGATAAGTAAATGACTTGGTTTATAATTATATTATGAGTTGCTGTTACATGTACTGGACCTAGTACTTTATTATTTTCTTGGAAATGGTGCTATGAACGTAATGTAATGTTAGCAGCCTGGTGTTCGCCACATTGTGTAGCGTTGTGTAGCGTTGTGTACACGGTGTGAAGCAAGTGTTACTCTGTGTACACGGTGTGTGGCGAGTGTTACTCTGTGCGACAGAAGTTACGCACCATAGCTTTAAAACTCTAAACGGGGGGGGTGGGGGGGACGAGTTGGGGAATATTTGTATTGAACAGCCAAATCTAATTTGACTAACATAATTCAGGTACAGCCCTAATTGCAAATTTATTTATGTACGAGTTTTTCGTACTTATCAGGTCCTCATCTCAAATAGCTAGGAGAAATGAAAGACGTATACCAATCAAAAGCTGGGATCTTAGGAGGTTAAAGCTCGACAATGGACGCCATTGTGATAAAACCTGGAGTTTTATCTCAGTAACTGACTAACCGTGCTGCTGAGCAGCACCAAACCGATGTGTATTGTGTAAAGCTGAATCTCTTGCTGTCTTGACAGTCAAAGCTTCAGTTTGTCACCTGTCTCGCTCTAATCAGGTTGCTGATCACTGAGGTGAGTTAAATCAGACAGTAATTACACATTCAGATATTTTTGGCTCCCTTAATTGGTGCTAACCTGTCTGTTGCGTTCGTCAGTGATCCTCTGAATCTGAATCTTTTTCCTCCCCATGTTTCCGGTGTGGCGGTGGGAGGGGCAAGGGGGAGTGGCGAGGTCAGAGGTCACGGATGGCTGTCGCTGTATTTCTTCCTCCTTAAATGTCTTTCAGTTTGTCCTCTCCGTGCACGCTGACTCTGATAGAAGCAGCGAGGCAGAGAGGCTGTCACCTCGTAGATTTATCCAAACAAAAAAAAAAAAAAAAAAAGAAAGAAAAAAAAATAGGGAGGAGGAGGAGAGGAAAAACGGGGTTCGGTGTGAGGCGCCCTTTTCAGATCATGGTCCTGTTTCTGGGGGCAGGTCATCCACACTCAGGCTGAACTGGGATCCTCTGCCCTCCCCTTCACCTCAGCTGGGCAGCTCCTGAAAAACACAGAGGCATTCATCAGACTGAGAGACAGAGAGCCAGGCTTTGTTTGTATACTGTGACCCACTTCAAACACCGTATTTGCCTTGACCCTTTATATACAACGAGAGAATAAATGATGCAGCAATGCATTTGAGGCGCCATCAAATCAGAAGCACATTGGGCTGAAACAGGAAGGGGGGGGTGCTACATGCAGAGCAGGAGGCCTTCAGGGGCCCGCGAGGAGGGAGGCTGTGCTGTGTCAGCTTCATTAGAGGCATCACCGCCACATCACTGATCTGCTGGTCGCCCGCGGCAACCGGCTGCCCCGGCCAGGGCCGCCTGACACGCCGAATGTGATTCCCCAATCGAAGGCAGAGAGAGGCAGAGAGGAGCCACCCAGTCTGTGGACTCCACACATCCCGTTTCCAAACACCATCCTGGTCAGTGCTCACTTCTCAGCAGGAAACAGGTTTTGGTTTCTGTGTTTAACAGAAACTGTGTAGTGCTGTGGCAGTGCACGGTGATGACGCTCAGCCACCTTTTTTTATCCAAGTGAGTAAAGTAGGATATTTACAGTTCTCATAAACTGGTTGAAATTCATATACAGATTTTCTAAGTGCTTCAGGATCCAGTCATCACTTGTGTCATGTTGACAGCCAACACAGACAAATGGAACGGTCAAAGTATTTATACTGACATTTAAGCTGTGCTGACCTTGGAAGTTGGCGGTAGCTGCCGGCGACAGTCTTTGACAGGCAGAGGGAGTTAAATTATATATTTATATATTTAATGTGTATATATTATATACACATTAACATGAATCCAACATATTATTAGCAAAGATAAATTTGCCTATTCATAAAACCCATTAAATTTACAGTGCACTATATTGGTGAATGACTAACTATTACCCATGAATCCTTGTGCGATCATGTGAGCTAGCTGACACTAAATTACTGTGTGTCACCTATCCATAATGGCGATGTGAACTAGTTAGCTATTTAAACATATTGACCAGTTAGCTGTATTATTATTCCAAGTGTATTATTCCAAGTGTACGGACAGCCTTGTGAGACACAACAGATCGTTTAATGACTTTTTTATTGCAGCAAAATATACCTAGTGCAGGAGTCTTTAACATTTTTCAGACCAGGGACCCCCCACTACATATATTCTACTTCTAATTCTATTCTTTAGTTGCACTTGAGATCATTCTTTGAATATTTCTTGGTCTTCTCTCGTTTGTGCTTGTCTGTAGCTGCTAAATCAGCAGCAGCTGTAGTATAGCTGGGTGTGTTAGCCTCACCCTCTGCACTATCCCTGGTGGTTTCTGAGGTGGACGGTGTGTCAGAGCCTCTCGTTGAAAAAGGCTGTTGGGCAGGACCAAACGGAATCTGCAGATTTTTTAACTGTTTTCAGCAGTGATCCAAAATGAAAATCTGCAGAATTCTGCTGAGTATTTTTTTAATTTTTGCTCATAATGTGACAGACAATGTTCCTTTCAAAATAACAATTAATTTTGAACAAAAATAACCTCACATAATACATTAAAACCTAAAATTACCTCAAGCAGGCTAAGAGAACTACTTAGTAGATTTTAGTCGAAACTTTGAATCCGATATTTTATTCAATCATGAATACTTCAAGAAAAAAAATTAACAATTGTTGGAAAAGTCAATCAAATAATTTGGGACACGTGGCCATTACAACAGGAGGTTCAATATGGAGCAGAGAGAACAAAACTTAATTTGCCAATCTATTACCAGTAGGCTACATTTTATTTTTGACATTTCTTCTCACTACACCACTAACTTTGACATTAATGCTAACTGAATACAACACACGATTGTCACACACATGCACAAGGAGGTGGAGGAGACAGTGACAACATTCTGAGTTTCACACGCAGCATCTATATTTCTAAAATCTGCAGAATTCTGCAGGCGCAAATTCAGTATGGGCCTGCTGATGGGGGATGAACCGACTGAAAACGTTCTTATCTCATTAAATAAAACAGATGTTGACGTCATTTTCCATTTAGGGACATAATTGGCAATTACAAAAAAGGTAATAAATCGCAGTATGTGTCATCAAAAACTCATCATATCATATCGTAATATTATATCCAGTCCTAATAGTTTTAGTTTATTAACCTTCGTAAACGTGCCAGTGGACAGGACAGTGGTTACATAACTAAGCCATGACTTAACTATGCACATGCGTCACCGGTGTGTTCCAGTTCTTAAACAAGTAGCACTACACCCCTTAAAATGATTTAACATAATCTGTTTTGACAAAGTGACAGTTATCTATTCATGGATGGAAATTATTTTACAGTCAGCTACACAAAACATCCAACACGTACCTGTTGAGACTGACAAGCAAATGATTATACTCTTTCCTTTCCTGGTGTGTCAGTACAGCAGGTATGAGTGGGCAGATTCCCACCAACGACACTCAGCATTTAACGACACGCTGGTCGATGAGGTTTTGTGTCCAGTAATAACATTATGGCTTATTACTTAAACTGCACATTGACCTAATTCCATGTGACACAGAGAGAGATGAAGAGTGTAAAAAGCTGTGGCTAATTCAGCCGTGCGTCTAACTAACCGTGAAATAAGGGTGGTCTGTGATACCATGCCTGATCAGAAACAGAGGATGGGCACATTATAAAATTCAGATTGTAAAAGGGCAAAGCAGAGTGAGAAAGCCCAGAGTGTTTCTGCAAATTCATGCAAACTCATGAATGAATGAGAAGGCGGCAGCAGCCCAGGAATGGCAACACAGGCGAGGACTGTTTTAGGCCCTGTTTCTACTATTTGTGGTTCAGCTTTAAAAATAGCGCGCTATATATACATACAGACTGTGTACACAGTGCAGCATACACACACACACACACACACACACACACACACAACAGTGGGAGCAAAGTGGCAGCATTACAGAACTGAAGCATCTGGAAAGGCGTGAGTACAGACACCACACCAGCTCTCCAGCATTGTTTGCATTCCCTCTACCTGGGAGAGCAGCAGAAGAAGAACGCCCTCTGGTTACATCCATTCTTATCAAACAAAGAATGTGAAATAGTCTGTCATGAGACTGACATTCCTTTTGTGCTGCTGTGGGCGCTGCACTGCACGCTCGCTCAGAGTGGATGCAATTGGCTTTGCTTTGGCGATGAGTTGCTTATGAATTATGCACTGATGGAGGAGAGTGAGAGCTGGTTTCTACATGGAAAATCTACAGTGAGCTGCAAGAACTGAATGTACAAACCATTGGCAACATCTTTCTAATATCTGGTTCCAGGCCCCTCAGCACAGTCGTTTTCTAAAACCCATGTCTGACTCCTCTGCTTCTCTCCATCTTCATCTCCTCCCTTTTGACTGGCGCAGATTTTATGAGAGAGATCAGTAAAGCACACTGAATTCTACGTGGATCACGCCGTTATAGCTGCTTTTCCCAATATATTGTGCATTTCCTCTTATTCCGCTTCCCTTTCCACACAGTACAGAGGTGTTAGTAACATCATTTAGCTAAATAATAAAGACGTGTATGTGTGTGTGTGTGTGTGTGTGTGTGTGTGTTCAAACTCTCTCACAGCCTTCGTTAGCCATCAAGTGAGCGGGGGACTCGCTCCAGTTGCAGTGAAGTTCAAAGGCAGCGCGCTGAGGGATTTGTCTTTAGGCTGTGGGCTGATCACACATGAAAAGGCTGCTTTATCTGCCCGGGGTGGTCAAGTCTCGACCTTTTACCCTTCATGCTGCTGGAGCTCGCTTCCCATGTCTGATGTCAGGCCGAATCTCTGCTCTCACATGGGAAGCAGAGGGCCTGGAGTGTGTCTGCTGCCTCGCTGAGCAGGCCAGAGTGACACAGAGGCTCTGGACAATGAAAAGATTAACGCTGATAATTAGGGAATCTACAGCAGACCCAGATTAGAACCCTGGGGACCACCTCAAAATGTTTGTTTCACAAGGGGCCCATGACAAGCTCTTCTTCTACAGAACAGCTGGACTCTGGGAATATGGACATAAAAGCACACAGTGGAGCAAAATAATTCAGAGCTTTTAAGGAAACTGCACAAATGTTTCAAGTACAGCTGCTACATCCACTACACTTCCACAGTCTTTAAGTAGAGATGCTGGGATATTACAGCCGTCAAGACTTGATGAAAATTGTATCATCCCTGTGGATCAACTGGGCAACTCTTTCTTCATAAAGCTCTGTGATGATTCTTCCCCGCTTTCACGCACATCTTTATCGAGCTAGTACAACTACCAAACCTCCAGCACACTTGCAGAGTATTTGCACATCATTTCAGTCCATTTCTGTAGAGCATCTTTTCTGAACTGCCGTTTTAGAATCGTACAGATAACAGAGATATTATTTAAAAGGGATAACAGCATAAAACCTGCAAAAACACAATCTGGGCAACAAAATAAAGTGTCTTAACAGAGCTTTAGAAACGGTATGAAAAAGAAACAGAGACACTATTACTATACAAATGTGTCCGCTAAGCTTTAGAGAGGGCACATGGGGTCATGGCCCCGGGGAAACCTACAACAAAGATTAGTCCATAAAAGAACAGTTAGAAAATGTTGCATCGCATCATTATCCCTGACATCTGTTGCTACGGCCATTAAGCATTTCAAAGCTTCAATCTTCTATTCCGCCGATGTGGGTGGAAAGCCACAAGCTGCGAGGGCAATATTATGGTTTTGACATTTATTCGTGAAGAGAAAGTTGACATAGGGATGTTCTTTTTCTGCAACAACATGCTTCCCAGTACAACCGCTGTGTTCTCCAGTTGGAGAATAACAAGCTTCCCTTGGGCAATCGGGGGTTAAGTGACTTGCTAAAGGGCACGTCACCCAGATTTTCCCAGCCGGGCGAGGTTCGTGAACTGGTGACCTTCCTCCTGACAACCTGCCTCGCTGTCCTCCAGGCTAATACTGCCCTCGATATTACTGATACTTCGCCACCTATGTTTCCGCCACAAGCTGTTTGTGTCAGA